GGGGTAGATATGGATATGATGACCATGCGGTAAGGTCACGTGTAGCCCCTCATTGAGGAGTGATTACCGGGCATTATGTGGGGTGATCCATATTTTAAATAAACCTAGGACCCCCCCTTTCTTTTATTCTTTACTCTTTTTTTTAGCATTGAAACTCCTTATTTAAGATCAGCTCTTTGATTGTTCTTTAAAATTTGTTTACTTCCAAACCATTATGAATTGAAATCCCCTCTTACTTGAGCCTTATCAGCTTACATGTTAATTGTATCCCAAATTCACAATAACTGTTTGGCCGGAAACCACACTAGTGGATCCTGAGGGGTGCCTAACACCTTCTCCTTAGGATAATTTCAAAGCCCTTACCCTATCTCTGGTTATCCAAGTTTAGTTATAATTAAACCCTGTAAGGTGTCCTAATGCACCATAAATCATTAGGTGGCGACTCTTCAAAACCCAGTTCCCAAAAGGAACGAGTTGTCCCTCCAAATGTCATGAACCCGATTTCGTGAGGAAAAGGGGGCGCGACAGACGCGCAACCCGATCCCACCGTACAACACAGAATCCTCCCTTATTTCACCGTAACAACATTAACAACAACAATAATATATATATATATATATATATATATATATATATATATATATATATATATATATATATATATCATAATTCACCCTTATTTCACCGTATCAATCCACCCTTATTCCACCTGTTGCGGCGTGCAACCCGATCCCACCATACCAGTATCGAATACTCATTGAGTACAGTTAAATAAAAAATTCAAATCACAAGAATCTCTGCGATCAATGAATACAACGCTGAACTAGAAATGAAACCTTATACTAAAAGGGAAGTTACATAAGTAGTACTACACAGCAAGACGGGTCCCGTAAATGACAATTAGAAGGTGCAAGTAAGTCAATTAAAGCAAATAGTACAGAATCATGGAACTATGAAAAGATCTAACATCATTAATAGGAGAGAACACTGATTAACAGGTAGCAAATAAGCATGGAAGGCATTTAGAGCATATAACATCTAAGACAGGGAAGGAAATAATTAAGAAAAAGCGGAAAATCAGGAAAAACAAGTAATTCGGCGTCGTATACACACTCGTCACCTCGCATATATGCCGCAACACAAGAAATTCACATAACACATAATCTGAGGGTTCCTAATTCTCTCAGGTCAAGGTTAAACTCAACACTTACCTCGCTCCAAAGACCAACTCAAAGCTCAACCACAGCTTTGCCTTTCAAACAAGCCTCCGAACCAACAATATCTTGCAAATTACCAACCAAACGATTCAAAATAAGCATTAGGAATTACCCACGATTGCAAAAAATTCAATTTAGGTCATTATTGAAAAAGTCAACAAAAGTCAACTCCCAGGCCCACTTGGTCCAAACCCCAAATTCGGACAAAAACCCGATTACCCATTCACCCCGAGCCCGGTTATGTAATTTATTTTGGAATCTGACCTCAATTTGAGATCTAAATCCCAATTTTACAAAAATCTCTAATTCTACCCAAACCCTCAATTTCCACAGAAAATATTAGATTTTAGGTTGAAAACTTATGAAATGTAATGGAAGATTAAAAGAAAATAGGTTGGAATTACTTACCAATGAATTGGGGAAGAAGATTTCTTGGAAAAATTGCCTCTAGGGTATTCTAGTTTTGAAATTTTGAAGAATGAACAAAAATCCCGTCAAATGCAGATTTTGATCAGGTGCAGGCGTCGCAATTGCGACAATTGTGAACCCGCAAATGCGGATAAATCTTCGCAAATGCGAAGATTGAACATTCCTGCTGCCTTCGCGAATGCGAACGAAATGTTCGCAAATGCGAACCTGAGGGGATCACAATTGCGACCCCAAATCTCGTAAATGCGAAAGTCCATCCCCAGCCCACTGCATGCAAATGCGAGATTTTCTTCGCAATTGCGAGGCTCGCATTTTGCGAGCCAGACCTCGCAATTGCGAAGTCTGCAGACCTGATGCACCAGCAGTCCATTTAAGCTTAAAAACACTCCATAGCCTATCCGAAACTCACACGAGCCCTCGGTGCTCCAAACCAAACATACACACAAGTCCAAGAATATCAGACAAACTTGCTCGTGCGATCAAATCGCCAACATAACACCTAGAACTACGAATTGGACACCAAATCAAATGAAATTTTCAAGAAAACTCATAAACTTCTATTTTAACAACCGGACGTCCGAATCACGTCAAACCATCTTCGTTTCTCACCAAATTTGACAGACAAGCCATAAATATAGTAATGGACCTATACCGGGTTCCAAAACCAAAATACGGATCCGATGTCAATAAAGTCAAACATTGGTCAAACATTTAGATTCATTAAGCCTTTAAACCTAAAATTTTTTGAACAAAATACGATAACTCGAGCTAGGGACCTTCGAATTTGATTCCGGACATACGCCCAAGTTTCAAATCACTATACGGACCCACCGGGACTGTTAAAATATGGATCCGGGTCCGTTTGCTCAAAACGTTGACCGAAGTCAACTCAAATGGATTTTAAGGCAAATTTTTTATATTTTATCAGTTTTTTTAACATAAAAGCTTTCTGGAAAAATACCCGGACTGTGCATACAAATCAAGGAAGGCTAAAATGAGATATTTGAGGCTTCGAAACACACAATTAGGTTCTAAAATTCTAGATGACCTATCAGGTCATCACAGGTACCTGAATCTCTCATGAAATTTTATGAAGTGTTATGTCATGTGATCTTCTAGATCATTTGCCTCCTTGTTATGATCATTTTGATCATTTGCTCATCTTCTCTATCAAGAATTTTATTTGAAACCGATTTGTCTATACGCTTTAAGCGTACCATAGACTTTATTCTTCTAGGACTTATTCTAATATGAGCATTTGCAGTGAGAATATAATTAGTTTCTTTGAGTCAGCAAATGCGTCTGGCATGTAATATATTGCAGATAAATTATCTTTTTTTGAACTTCAAGTTCATATTATCTTATTCGAGGATCTAGATGTACAAATGATAATTCAATCCACATAATTTTTTCTCAACTGTTTATTCTGTCTCCCCTTCATGTTAGAAAAACTAACTTGCTTCTTCAACATTGAAAACTCACCTTTGTGCGTTATGGTGCTAATAAAAATATACACCGTACATTAATAATAATAATAAGATGGAACTATTTGGTTCCTGATCCTAAACCATTTTGTGAGGGGAGAATGTAATATACTTTCGTATATAACGTATATCAAACCAATATAGATAACTCTATTCCCATAAGCAATAGTTTAGCTATTAAGTGGAGGCACTCAATTATCAATTTGCTAAACCAACTGTGAGTAGACCAACTTATCAAGATGAACTTCTTGAACAGATAATCTAAAAATTATACTCTAAATTTAATTATTCAGCAACTTACCTCGCAAACACCAGTGAGTTAATAATAATTTTACATGCAACCATCTCATAAATGCATCTTATGTGGTATACATGGCAAGTGAATGAGCCCGTATTCACCTTTGATATTTCCAGCATTCATGGGATTCAACCCAATGTTAGTTGGTCTATTAATTAATGAGGACAAGCAACATAAAAGAATCCGTAAAGAACTTTCTAGTTCTTTAATATTTACCCATATGAATTCTCTTTTATTTTTGCGCATCATACTTAAATTAATATGGCTAAATCAATTGTTCCAGCTGAATAATTTATCAATATTGATAAACTTCAAGTTTACACCATGACGTGTGCAATTATAAAAATACTTCAAGTTTATTATGATATGGGTTTTTGTATCAATAAACATTCAGTTTACTGCGTCATGTAATTTCACCATATTTTTTATTTGTGTAGTACAAATCAGGCAATAAAACGGGTAGTTTTCATATGCATATTACCCCGCTACAGTCGTAGTAATATAAAGATATTAAATCTTCTGATTATTTATAGTCTCAACATAACCAATCGTTTTCGCGAATACTTTATTATAAGTTTCTTTGAGACTTACTATAACATAATGCCTTATTGATAATAATTTTATTCCTTCAAAATAGTAGTAATTGGCTCTTCCAGAGCTCTCAATTAATTGGTACTATCATATATTCATCAACATCCATATGGTGAATATCTCTTTTAAAGAGAAAGTTATACCATTATGGTCATGGTCAAAATTATATGCTATATCTGTTTCTTGCATTGCTGTTATCCTTTAATAACCACATTACCAAAATATTTTGCCGTACGTGACCAATGACCATTCATGCCATAATAATGACATTATTTTCTTATATCATCTCAAAACTCCTTCTAGAGGTGAGTGTGGTACCACTAGCACGTTCATATTCTTCCAAGAATGAATATGTATTCATAAATCACATGTTGTCACATTCACATCATGGATGAACCATAATCATCAAAATGTGCTTTACAAAATGTCGAGTCAAATCGATGACACATATTATTTTCACAGAGTGAAGGATTATTTTGAGAATCCTTATTGTTCTTATTACCACAATGATGATGATTATAATTTCATCTATTGCCACGCCCACATTCAATGATACTCTCATGATAATAATTTTGTCTTCTTTCAGACTTATCACATACTGTTACCACATTTTCTTAAGGAAACGAGAATAAAGCAAATTCAATAGGACGGGTTTTCACTTCTTGTGTTGACAATTATACATGAATTTGATCACGACAAGATATAGAAATTTTACCACTTCAGGTGGTTATAATTTTTTTACAAACTCTATTAGAATTATAATAAAATTTTATTGTCTTTGCTTGTATTTAAGATCAAATTATATATTTTCAAGAATTTAAAAGAAAAAAATAAGATAAAGTACTTACCATAAATACGGAATAAAGAATTTATTCTGGAAGAAAGTTTATGGAACAATTGACATCATCATGCTCAATATCATGTAAAAGTTGAGCACCATGTGCGTATCCCAAATTAAAACAACCGCCCTCTACTCAATTAGTTAGAGTCTCGTGCTGATAACGTGTAATTATAAAATAATAAAAAAAGAAGAGTATTATAGAGAAAAGTAGAGAGAGAGAGAGAGAGAAAATTCTTATTGATTTGGGATGGTTTACAATGGAATAGAACCTCTCTATTTATAAGAAAAAAATTACTTAGACATAAAGTAACAAACCCTAAAATTTCTCTAAAATATAGGTATTCACCTTAAATACAAATCTATTTATAACAGTACAAGAATTGAACAAGCTGGAAGTAAATGGTCCATGTAAGTGATAACAACTTGAATTGATGGCTAGTTTTTGAGGTTTGGAACTTGACGATATTTAGGGTGGCTGCGTGTGAGATGTGTTAAACCTCTCGATTTGGAAATTCTTAATTTGCCTTTAAGACAATCATCTACCAATTTTGAATGAATTGAGCGCTTGATTAAAGATTGATATATTGAGTATTCGATTCAGACTGAGCTGAGGCATAGTAGATTAAATGATTGATCGAAAAGGAAAATGTGCTTGATTAACTTTAATTTAGTACATTTTTAAAAGTTTCCCTGGTGGAATAAATTTTTAGCTCAGAAGCTCCGGAGGGTACTTTTTCTCCAAAAAAATAAATAAATATCGATCGTAAAAAAAAGTTTTAAAGAATTTTTCTCAAATTATTTGTCAATTTTTCAATACAGTTCTCCAAATTCTGGCCCTCAAAAATGTGCATTCCTTCCATTTTTGAAGTGTTACGAGATTAAACTACCCCTCACCTATTCATGCATCAATCCCCTTGACAATTCTATTCTCTTTTCCCTGAACTTTACCATCAATCTCATTAAAGTCTTAAAAGTTTTGCAAAATTATCCTCTTTGCAATATCCGATGTACCCAAGGTATTGAGCAATTAATTAAGGAATCACCGTCCAAATATTAAGTGGGGTTAACTCTCTTTTTGAGGAACGATGTGCACAGATAGCCATTAATAATACATGCCTTTATTTTTAAGTCACTGTTTTAGTTGTCTTTAGTCTTTAGCCACTGCTTTAATAAATTTTTACCTGCCTGGACGAAAATACCCTTCTGTTATAAGCTTATACCTACGCTCCTTATTAACGATCAGCAGCAGCATCACGTAACTAACTTCCGAAGCAGCAGCAGAGACTGTGATCGTCCAAAATTGCAGTAGCTTCTCTTCCCATTTCAAACTATAGCAGCAGCAGAGACTGTGATCGTCCAAAATTGCAGTATCTTCTCGTCCAAAAATAGACATAAAATTACAGTAAGTTATACTTTTGTGTGTTTCTGTTGATTTTTATTTCGTTACTGGAAATTTGATGCTAGGAATTTGATTGTTTTTGCTTTTCTGGATTGATAACGTTAAGGACATCGTGCCATGTGATTATTCTATAAATATTGAGGACATAAAGTTAAGGATTTGGTGTCCTGAATATTAAGGACATAGTGTCCTGGTTTTGCAAAAGTTCAGGACCATGAATCCTTAACTTTTGAGTTCTAAGCTCAAAAGTTAAAGATTCATGGTCCTAAACTTCAAGTTTCAAGTTCAAAAGATAAGGACACTTGGTCCTTAACTTTGATTTCCAAGTTCAAAAGTTAAGGATGAATAGTCCTGAAGTTTGAGTTCCAAGCTCAAAAGTTAAGGATTCATGGTCTTGAACTTCAAGTTTCAAGTTCAAAAGTTAAGGACACTTGGTCCTTAACTTTGATTTTCAAGTTCAGAAGTTAAGGACACTTGGTCCTTAACTTTAAATTCCAAGTTCAAAAGTTAAGGACGAATGGTCCTGAAGTTTGAGTTCCAAGCTCAAAAGTTAAGGATTCATGGTCCTAAACTTCAGGTTTCAAGTTCAAAAGTTAAGGACACTTGGTCCTTAACTTTGATTTCCAAGTTCAAAAGTTATGGACACTTGGTCCTTAACTTTGATTTCCAAGTTCAAAAGTTAAGGACGCATGATCCTGAACTTCAAGTTTCAAGTTCAAAAGTTAAGGACACTTGGTCCTGAAGTTTCAGTTCCAAGTTCAAAAGTTAAGGACACTTGGTCCTTAACGTTGAATTCCAAGTTCAAAAGTTAAGGACACTTGGTCCTTAACTTGGAAGTGTCCTTAACTTGGACTTGAACTTACAGTTCATGTCCTTAATTTATACTAAAATTGCATGGACTAGACATTGGGTATCACAAGGCGTGGCGTGCTATTCAACGTGCTTCAACTTTAATAAGAGGAACTCCTGAAAAGAATTATAAATTATTGTCTTCATACTTGTATATGATGAAAAGTAAAAACCCGGGACCATATACTAACATAAAGATAGACGACAACAACAGGTAAACAATCAAAAAAGAGATTATTAGTCTGTTTTATAAACTATAGGACATGTTGTCTTTAACTAGTGAAAAGTTAAGGACGTGTTGTCCTTAACTTTGATGTGTGCAGTGAAAAAGTTAAGGACACTTGGTCCTTAACTTAGAGTTGCAAGTTAAAAAATTAAGGACATGTTGTCCTTAACCAGTGTTAAGGACGTGCTGTCCTTAACTTTGAGGTGTGCAGTGAAAAAGTTAAGGACGTGCTGTCCTTAACTTTGATGTGTGCAGTGAAAAAGCTAAGGACACTTGGTCCTTAACTTAGAGTTGCAAGTTAAAAAATTAAAGACTGCATGTCCTTAACTTTAAACTTGTAACTCTAAGTTAAGGACTACATGTCCTTAACTTTTTAACTTGTAACTCTAAGTTAAGGACCAAGTGTCCTTAATTTTTGAGCTTGTTAGTCTAACTTCAGGACTACATGTCCTAAACTTTTGGGCTTGTAACCTGAAGTTTAGGACTAGCTGTCCTTAGCTTATGGCCTTGGTAGTCTAAGTTAAGGACATGTTGTCCTTAACTTCTGTTAACCTTCTGTTATACTGTATTTCAGGTTTCTTTATATGTTTTATGCATATGGATCATCAATAACTGGTTGGAATCATTGTAGACCAGTGATTGCTATTGATGCCACTCTTTTGAAGTCAAAATTTCGTAGTGTTTTAATGATTTCAGTTTCAAAGGATGCAAATAACCAAATTTTCCCACTAGCCTTTGGAATTGCAGAATCTGAAAATAACAATTCCTATGAGTGGTACTTTAGTGAGCTTTGCAATGCAATTGGGAGTCGTGAGAATTTAATTTTTTTATTAGACAGGCATCAATCTATTGCATATGGGATTGCAAAGGTATATCCTGAAAGCCACCATGGGATTTGTATCTATCATTTGGAGCAGAACCTAAAGCGAAGGAAAGTGAAAAGTGAGGTCATAAAACTTTTCCAAAGTGCTGCAAGAGTATACAGGCGCAAAGAATTTGATCTATACATGTCTGATATAGCAAAAGTAGATAAGAAGACTTATGACTGCTTGATGGATGAACCACCGAAAAGGTGGGCATGTTCTTGTAGTCCACGACGAAGATATGGCATGCTCACAACAAACATAGTTGAGTCAATAAATTCTATGATATTAGAAGCAAGGGAGCTGCCTATATTATGAATGATGGATTTCATCCAAGTAAAGCTACACCGTTGGTTTTATGAAAGAAGAAATGAAGCAGAAGGAACTTTTTATGACGTTTCTTGTTGGGTAGAAGAGGAATTGAAGAAAAAGATATATCTAGCATTTACTTTGAATGTAAGTATTATGTTCTTTGTTTAGCTTAATATTTTAATGATAATTTAACATAGTGTACTAACTTATAATTTTTCAACATTGAAGATCTCCCCTGTTGATTCATGGCGTTCTAGAGTTGAGGAAGAAGGAATTACTTTCTTGGTGGACTTAAACAAAAGGACATGTGATTGTTTTCAGTTTCAATTTGATGAATTACCATGCATACATGCAATTGCAGCTATCGAGAAGAGAAACATCAAGAAGTCCAACTTTTGCTCGCACTGGTACTTAAAGGAATCTTGGCTGAAAACATATGAAAGACAAATACATCCTGTGGGACATACTGATTCTTGGATTGTACCAGAGAGTGTTAAGTCACAAATTATTAAACCTCCAGATTTCAAAGTTCCACCAGGCAGAAGGCAGAAGAAAAGGCATATCCTAGCTACCGAGTCATCCAAAATAACATTCAAATGTGGTCGTTGCAGAAGAATTGGCCATAATAGAACAGCTTGTATATATTCTCCGGCGGTCCATCCATTTTCAAGGAAGCATAGAGAATAGTAGATATATCCACTTATGCTTATCTACTCTATTAAGTTTTTGCTATAAATTGGATTCATTTAGATTGTTTTTATTTGACCAGATGTCCTGAATTTTCAAAGTTTCTTTGCGCTTACGTGCTTTTTGTTTCTTTTGAGTTGCAAGTTCAAAAGTTAAGGACACTTGGTCCTGAAGTTTGAGTTCCAAGCTCAAAAGTTAAGGAAACTTGGTCCTTAACTTTGAATTCCATGTTCAAAAGTTAAGGACACTTGGCCCTGAAGTTTGAGTTCCAAGCTCAAAAGTTAAGGACATGTCCTTAACTTTAATTTCCAAGTTCAAAAGTTGAGGACACTTTGTCCTTAACTTTGATTTACAAGTTCAAAAGTAAAGGACACTTGGTCCTGAAGTTTGAGTTCCAAGTTCAAAAGTTAAGGACACTTGGTCCTGAACTTTGAATTCCAAGTTCAAAAGTTAAGGACACTTGGTATTGAAGTTTGAGTTCCAAGCTCAAAAGTTAAGGACACTTGGTCTTTAACTTTAATTTCCAAGTTCAAAAGTTGAGGACACTTTGTCCTTAACTTTGGATTCCAAGTTCAAAAGTTAAGGACACGTGGTCCTTAACTTTAGATTCAGAGTTCAAAAGTTAAGGACACTTGGTCCTTAACTTTGAGTTCCAAGCTCAAAAGTTAAGGACACTTGGTCCTTAACTTTAATTTTCAGGTTCAAAAGTTGAGGACACTTTGTGCTAAACTTTGGATTCCAAGTTCAAAAGTTATTGACACTTGGTCCTGAACTTTGAATTCCAAGATAAAAAGTTAAGGACACGTGGTCCTTAACTTTGAATTCCAAGTTCAAAAGTTAAGGACACTTGGTCCTTAACTTTGAATTTCAAGTTCAAAAGTTAAGGGCAGATGGTGCTGAACTTAGTCTTACAAGTTAAAAAATGTTAAGGACATTTGGTCCTTAACTAATACTTACAATCTCAATAAACATAATTTAGGGATTGCAAATGGACAAATCAATACATGACAGAAACAAAGAAATTAATAACATGACTCCTTTATATTACTTCTGAAACAGTAATTTGGCATAGTTGTGACCAAAAATTATGCTATGCAAACAAAATAAAAGTGCCTTGTGAACAATTTACAAGAAATTTCAGAATTCATATGGATTCTTTACAGCAATTTTATACAAAAAATCAACTACAGCTAACTTTCTTTACAACTAAACTACAGCTCCTTTGGACAGGAAGTTTCATTTTCACTATCATAGTCGTCGCCGACATTTTCTGGTGGTGTATCCTAACCAGAATTTCTTTTCCACTCTCCATGTGCCCAAATATTTGCTGCAAGTTCTTTTCTAAGTTTTGTTATGTCTTCAGGTTGGAATTTCTCCACATCCTTTCCCATCATCAACAACTCCACATACTTGATAAGGAATGCACCACAATCAGTCCTAAGAATAATGTAAGATATGGAGTCAATTAAACAATATCTTTAATAAAATAAATCTAAAGTACATATAAATTATATATCAAATGACAACACGTATGATCCAGTTTGGTGTGGTGATCTTTGCCACTGAATATCAAATTTGTTAAATGCATTTCCAAAAGACTTGTATTTTTTCTCAAACTGTGAGAACTTTAGCAAGTGGGGGATCATGCGTGCATATATTTCAATGTGATTCATTCCTGCATCTTATGGCTCACTATATATGGAATCGTACACGTCAATCTTTTTCTCAATCAAGTCCAATACCCCAAAAGAAAATGCGTCACAGCATCATCATCTTCTGAAGGAAGCTGACATGGAAAAAAGATTTTGTGAACCTCTGTCCAAGCAATTCCACATCTACAACTGTCACCCCACACATATGGTGTCAGAAACAATTGATTATCACCACACCAAAACTCATCTGTAGCATCTTCATTGAAATCATTATACACAAGTACCATATAGTTATCAAAAAGTATATCTGTAGTTGTGCAACAAAAAGGATGGCTGCGAGAGTGGTAGCATTCCTTCTTTCTGAAATAATACAGGGCAGTGTCAATATGCTTCATAAAAAGCCAAAAAAATAAAATAAATCCATCAGTCATAAAAAACTAAAAAACATAAATTAATAATAAAGAAAATAAATGCCTTGAAAATTATCAAACCTTATGATCAAGTACAAAGCTACTATCTGAAAGCTCAAGGAAGAACATTTTGCTATTGATTTGATGGTACAATTTATATGGATTCTTTCTCACACCACTATCGTCAGCATATATATCAGTTTCTCCCCTGAAAATTTTGAAAATATCAAAGTTAGAAGTTAGTCCTCATTTCCTAATTAAGGACATCTAGTTTTGAACTTAGGCTAAGAAGCTCAAAAGTTAAGGACAATAGGTCCTGAACTTAGGCTAAGAAGCTCAAAAGTTAAGGACACTTGGTCCTGAAGTTTGAGTTACAAGTACAAAAGTTAAGGACACTTGGTCCTGAACTTCAAGTTTCAAGTTAAAAACTTAAGGACACATGGTCCTAAACTTAGACTTACAAATTCAAAAGTCAACGCCCCTTGTCATGAGATTGCACTCCACATTTACAAATTGTTTCTGTTACTCCTGTCTCTTTTGGATTTTCCTGGTGTTGACATTCTACTACTTCTTGAACTTCCACTCCATCCATAGCTCCTACATATATTTGTAATCACAAATTTTTTTTATATATATTACACTACTGAATATAAATTTCAATGACAACAAATTCAAAATCTATATCTAACCTTTCCCAATTTCAGTGTCAATATCAGTTTCATCTCTAGATGTGCATCTGTATAATCGCTTTCATAATGATCTTCTGCATCCACATATGTATCATCACATTGATCATCACCTGCATCTTTGTTAATTGGAACAGTAGGTTCTGTATCAACTGCATCTTTACTGCTTGGAACAGTAGATTCTCTCTCTATGTTCCTTTCATCAGGTTTGACAAGAATCTTTAACAAAGAATCAATCTTTGATCCTAGGTCTTTCTTTAAATTCTATGAAAGAAATTAAGTTAAAAAGTTAAGGACAGGTAGTCCTAAACTTCAAGTTACAAGTTAAAAAGTTAAGGACACTTGGTCCTTAACTTTGATTTCCAAGTTCAAAAGTTAAGGACGAATGGTCCTGAAGTTTGAGTTCCAAGCTCAAAAGTTAAGGATTCATGGTCCTGAACTTCAAGTTTCAAGTTCAAAAGTTAAGGACACTTGGTCCTTAACTTTGATTACCAGGTTCAAAAGTTAAGGACACTTGGTCCTTAACTTTTAATTCCAACTTCAAAAGTTAAGGACGAATGGTCCTGAAGTTTGAGTTCCAAGCTCAAAAGTTAAGGACACTTGGTCCTGAACTTTGAGTTGCAAGTTCAAAAGTTAAGGACACTTGGTCTTGAACTTTGAGTTGCAAGTTCAAAAGTTAAAGACACTTGGTCCTAAACTTTGAGTTGCAAGTTCAAAAGTTAAGGACACTTGGTCCTGAACTTTGAGTTTCAAGTTCCAAAGTTAAGGACACTTGGTCCTTAACTTTGATTTACAAGCACTGAAATAAATGATATTACCTTGATGTCATTTTGAATCTTTGTTTCTGATATAGCTATTCTTTGATTTATTCTAGTAACTTTTATGTGCATATCCTTTGTAAACTTCTCCGATAATCTCTGAATCAAAAACCATGAAAACAAAAAAGTCTCTTAAGCAAAAATAATCAAATAAAAACACTAATGCTATTCTAAGATAGAAAACCTACTTTAACAATTTCCTTAAGCAAGGCTTCATCAAATTGTGTGGAGGAAGGCACTGAATTTTGATCTTGAGACAATGGCTCATGCACACTAACAGGCTCCGCTTCTTCTTCAACAGAAACAAATGGTACCACCTCGATCAACTTATACAACTATTATATAAGAAAAAAAACGTAAGTTTTCAGAACTAAAACACATAAACAAAACAATAGCTAGTAATCAGATTAACTTACATTTTCATTATGGAAGTATTTTTTACACAGAGAATCACATTGTGGAGATTTCATATCCATATAACATAACATCCGAGGATACCCACATTCTCTGAAGTTCACAAATTATTTTTCCTGGAAAATTGGAAATACTTCCATAATCCAAACACAAAAAGCAAAAGGGAAGCTAAGTATAGTATAACGGTCCTTGTCTTTCTCTTTCTCTTTCTCTTTCTCTTTCTCTTTATCGTTCTCATTGGGCTTCGAACAACTCTTCAATGATTTATTAACGTTTCATAACAAAGAGAGCCCTAGTTGAAAGAGGAGCAGAGTTCATTGTCATCTACAACTTTCATTAGCTGCTTGGACACATTCTCATTCTTGTGCTTCCCCATCAAAATATATTCAACAAAATAAATTGTGGCCAACTTCACTGCATCATCATCGCTGCCTACAAATGATGCAGTTGTACCATTTGGGTGACTAGTAATAAAATTAAACAAATCGCCTAACTCAATTCTATCTTTCCCATGGAAGTAGACTTTCGAAAGCCTATTCTCTTTTTCACGCACAACTGTGAAGTCCACTGAAAAAGACCATTTTAAACCATTAATTATATGAAATGCTTCACGTGTAAACTTTACTTCATGGTCAAAAACCTTGAATGTCATTGAATTAGGGTCATTGCTTACAATTTCTGAAGCAAGACACAATGAATAAGTTTAAAACAGAACTTCACACTTTGCAATCGGAAAAAGTTTCCAAAAATACCATCCCTCAACTTCTTCCATTGCCTGTTCGACAAGAAACCTTTTATTGTTTTCTTATACTGTAAATCTCCTTTCAAATAGCTATTCAAATTATGCCAAACATCAAAGTCGAAAACACGATCTCCTTCCATTAGCACACTACAAAAGAAGTAAAAAGAACATAAAAAATTAGGACTAAAATCCAGGACCTAAGTAAAAGGCATCTTAAAGTTAAGGACTTACAAGTTCAAACGTTAAGGACACTTGGTCCTGAACTTTGAATTCCAAGT